CAGTGCCCAGCCCCAGCTGAGCAGCAGCACCACACCAGGGCCTCACGGGTTCCCCTGAGCTCGGCACGAGAAGGGCTGGAGCTGGAGCAGCGTCTGCGTGGCTGCACAGCCACGACTCTTCCTGGGGACTCAAAGCAAGCTCCCCAGGTCTGCCAGCCTTCCTGGTTAGAGGGACACAACCCCACCTCCCTGGGATCAACAGTGGGAGCCTTCAGTCCCTGGATTCAAGCTCTCCAAACGCAGGGGCCTGTTGTCAGGGTCCTTCCCAAAGCCAAACGCCTCCGTTACGAGATCATAGAATCCCAGAATCCCAGGGGTTGGAAGGGACCTCAAAAGATCATCCAGTCCAACCCCCCTGTCAGAGCAGGGTGACCCAGAGCACATCACACAGGAACGTGGCCAGGGGGGTTTGAATGTCTCCAGTGAAGGAGACTCCACAGCCTCTCTGGGCAGCCTGGCCCAGGGCTGTGTCACCCTCACAGGAAAGATGTTTTTGGATATTCACCTTGAACCTCCTGTGCTCCAGTTTGCACCCATTGCCCCTTGTCCTGTCACTGGTCATCACTGAGAAAAGCCTAACTCCATCTCCCTGACACTCACCCCTTACATATTTGTAAACATGGATGAGGTCACCCCTCAGTCTCCTCTTCTCCAAGCCCAACAGACCCAGCTCCCTCAGCCTTTCCTCAGCAGGGAGATGTTCCACTCCCTTCATCATCTTTGTGGCTCTGCGCTGGACTCTCTCAAGCAGTCAAGATGTTCTTCTTTATTGAAGGCTCATTCCAGGAGGGATGCTGGAGCCTGGGGAAAGGAATGTTAGGCATGACCATCCTGCCCTCCATGGCCAGGCCCATTCTGTGGCCAAGGCACCAGCACCTGGAGAGTGGCAGCATCCTTGCATCTCCACCAAGCCTCTTGTGCCTCCCACCAGAGACTCCAGCGTGACCACTTGGTTTATTTTGCAAGGGGACACAGCTGCTGGCAGCCCTGGGCAAGGAGGGCCTGGGGCAGCTGTAGAGAGTGGTAAGAAGGAGGATGGGGGCTGTGGTGGCCCCTGGGTCATGGGAGATCTGATAACCTAGTGGGGGAGGACAGCCTTCAGCAAGGGGAAGGATGCCAGAGGCAGCTGGGGGAATGATGGGAATGTTGAGGAGATAAGGTGAGCTTGGTGAGGGGGAAATCTGGGCACATTCTGCTGATTTAGGGTGTTGTCACCAAGGGTGGAACGCATAACAGTGAGAAACTGGCTCCATGCAGCCATCATCAAGTCAGCAGACAAAGAGCCGTTGTTTGCTGTGAAGCACCAGTCAAACCAAAAGAGAAAGGTTTCTGCAGCACCTCCAGTAACTGGTGGTGTGTCCGAGAAGGAAGTCAGAGCTGGCTGTTTACTGCACCTTGCCAGGGCAGGCCCACCTCACCTCCTGCTGGGTGGATGAGAGGAAAGACTGGGTCTGAGAAGGGAGGTGCTCAGGTAGAGGACATCTCTGAACTTTGAGGTGACCCTATAACCCTGCTCCTCTGAGAGCTGCCTGGTGGGGTGGTCAAAGACTTTTCTGCTTCCACAGCAGTATGTGGAGAACGTGGGGTCCCTCAAAGGTGCCTGGGCATGGCTGGTCCTCAGGGGGCTGCAGTGTCTCTGCTCTACAGCTGCTGAGACAGACATCTCCATCCAGGATGACTCCCCGAGCCCTGACATCTGCCCCATGGCCAGAGAGGAAGAATTTGTTGATATTCCTGCTTTTTTTGGTATCTAAGAAGAGATAACAACACAACTGAGATCTCTTCATGGGAAGGAAAAGGTGATTCTCACAAGAACTAACACTTCCCAGCCTTTCAGCAGGGCTTTTCAGCCGAGGTATTTATTACATCTGCTGAAGTGTGGCCAGAGGCAGTGGGAAACTGGAGGGACAGGCAGGTGTGGAACCCCAAGCTGTGCCTGGTGGAGCCGATGGAGATCTGGCCCAGGACCCTGAAACATGCTGCTGCTTTGTTGATCTTGGCATTTCCCTGAAAAACAACAAACCAGCCTATCTGGTCACTGTGCAGCAATAACTGTAAACCCTGGAGGTCGCAGGGTGGGTTATCAGGAGGAATGCAGCCAGGTGAGTGTCCCAGGAACTCTCCACAGGCTGTGCTTTCAGATGCTGTGCCCTCAACCCGGCCAAGACCACAGGGGTTTGCTCTGATCACCACCCAAGCAAGCAGGACTTTGCTCCTGCCTTCACCTCCACCTCACAGCCCATCCCAAGCTATAGGCTTTTGGCTTCCACACTGGGGGAGCAGGAGCCAAAGAGGAGAGGACTGTGTCCCTCTAGAAGCCCCAGCCCTGGTGTTCCTCAGGCTGCAGTGGCCAAGCACAGCCCTGGCTGCCCCTGCCCTGGGTACCCCAGGCTGCCCTGCCCTCCCCACCGCTCTGCCCACGCGGGCACCAGGTCCACCCTCTAGACCAACAAGCACCCTCAAAGATGTCGTTGAGTCAGTTCCTGTTCCTATGGCCCAGCTCTGTCCTCAGAAGGGTGAGCTGGTTTTTTCCTGCCACTGGAAGAGACGCTTATTTATTTTCCATTCTTTTTTTAATTTTTCCATTGACACGGACGTCTGGACACCACAAAGGGCAAAATCAAGGTGGGACAGCCCTTCTTCCTGGGCTGTTTTCACTCCCAGTGGGGTTTAAGTGTGGCCTATTTCACAAAGAGGCCCATTCATGGGATTATTTTGTCCCCCAGGGTGACTCTTCAGGCCTAAAGGCCTCCGAGTCATTGACGATGCCACCAACATAGGCCTTTCTCAGATTTCCCTTGGTCACTTCAAACTCCTGTGATGGAGGCCTGAGGACCCCAAATCCTCTTCTGTCCCTCTCACCTGCTGCACTGCACCCCAGCAATTCCCTCCTGCCAAGCAGGACAGAAGAGGAACAGCACCAGAAGGACACCTCAGAGTCTCCTCTGTGGGTTCTGGTCAGAAGTGGTTTCCCAGCCCTCAGAGGAGGCTGCATTTTTCATGTGATTAACTTATTGTGTCAGTTCTTGTCAATACCTCGAAACTGGTTTGATCTGTGATTCCTCAGAAATTATGCTGAAAAAAATGTAAATGTTTGTCTCAACAGCTTCACATTGAAGTGGTTGGGGTTGGCTCCTGAGAGCAGTGCCTTGTCCTCTCTCTCCAATTCTCTTAAAAAGTGATTTTTGAATGTTGGGGAACTTTGAATGTTGGGAAAATTCTGGAAATATTTGAATGACTTTGTTTGCCTTGAGGACACTGAAACACCCCATTTCAATCTCTTCCTCCCTGAGCTAATTGTCTCCAGTTTGCTTGTGCACAGGGGAGCTGCAGGTGGGGTAAAATAAGGACAGAATGACATGAAGGATCTCCTTGTCTTGCACCTCGCTCAGCAAAGGGAGAAATGGTTCCCCAGCCTGTTCTCCCAGTGCCCTGATTCCATGATCAACACTTTCTGTAGGAAACAAGCACCACGGAGAGAAAGTGAAATTTTAGGAAGAAATGTAAAGCTACCTTGACCTGGTGGGACACTGAACTGTGTCACTGCTTGCAGCTCGGGGTGGCAGCAGCCCAGGTTTATTGAAGCCAGGGCTGTTTTCCCCCAGCAAAAGGCTTTGTGAGGCTCCAGCACCTCTCCAGATTAATGCTTTTTCCCCAAACTCCCTCAGATTTCAGTGTTTATGGCATTGGGGTTTGTTTTTGGTTTTTTCAATGAGTTAAGGGGCAAAATGCAGCCCTGGTGTGGATGAGCTCCTCAGGACTCCCCAGCAAAGGAGCTGGCACCAGGGCTCATGGTAAGAGTGATTTTCTCCTCCCTCCTCTTCCCCACCCTGGGAAGTGATGCAATTTCATTCCCTCCCAAGATCCTTCATGCCCAGCCAGGAATCCTGCTGTGCTGAAATCCATAACCTGGTGACCCAGAAGATTTTTCCAGGTCCTTGTCACAGAGGATGATGGCACAGCCCTGTGTGACATGAGACCGTTTATTGAAAATATTTTATTGCTTCCTAAAAACCAGTTTTAATAAACTCCAAAGAGATACAGTAAGTAGATGAGCAAAATTATTCAACAGACTCTGGTTTCTGGCATCTTATTTCTCTGCAGGAAGACTGCCAGGCCTGCAGGAGCAGGCTGAGCAGACCTGGTTTTGCCATGGGTCAGAGAAGCTGAGCTCCCCTGACTGCACCGTATTTATGCTCAAGTTCCAGCAGAACTTCAGGTGAAACCAACGCACCAAGTCATTGGTTTCAGCTGGAGTTGGATCAGCACCTTGCACCCGGGTCAGGTAAGAATGAGATCAGCAGTTTTCAGAGGCTGAACAAGCCCCTTGCTGCACAGCCAGGGAGTCTTTGCCAAGGAAAGCTCCTCACCTTGGTCTGAAGCTGCTTTTCACCTCCTCCTGGCCAGCAAGCTCCCCCCTGTGCCACAACTGGGGGAGATGCTGCAGAGCATCTTAATGCTCTCTAAGGAGTCATCAAAATCAGAATTCCACCCTGACACTGGCAGTAAAATACAGAAATTGGCACCTCAGATGATGGCTTTTCTTTTTAGGCTTAGGTTGTGTGGGCTCCCCGTGGAGCAGACACAGCAGGCAGCCCCAGCTGCACCAGCACAGCACCCCAACCTCTGCCCTGCTCCCACCTCAAGGGTCATGCAGTGTTTTTCCCCTCAACGTGTGATGATGAAACACTTCCCCTTGCTCTGTGGCCCAGCCTGCAGGTACGAGCTCCCAGCAAGAGGGGTGAAGCTGTTGCTGAGGCCGGGCTGTCACCTCCTGCCACACCTGGTCTGCAGTGGGAGATGCCAGCCCCCCCTCGGTGAAGGTTTTCCCTCTGGGTGACTGTGGTTTGTGAGTCAGCTCTGCACGGGGATAGTGTAGCAGTATCCATAGAAAGATGAAGAAGTCACCCCTGCAGCTGGGAGACCTCTCCCATTCCCCAGCGTGACCTGTAAGTCATTGTCCAGCCCCCCAGGTGAGCAGGTCACTGTGAGGTGCAGGGTCAGAGGCGAGTGTGGTTCTGGTGGCCCCCCTGGGGGGACTGTCCTGGCACAGCCCCCCCTGGGGCAGCCCTGCCCACCCCATTCTGCACAGCATGGCCATGATTCCCATCTTCTTCCTGGCCTTTTGTGGTGCAGGTGCCACTGTTAGGAACCACCGTGTGCTTCTTCTGCACCTGCTCCAGTATCTGCAGCACCTGGAATTAGTAAATGCAGCTGTGAGTGGGTTTGTGATTCAGGGGCAGCACCAGGATCTCCTCCAGCTATTGCAGCAATGCCCTGTTCCCTTGCAAGCTGCTTCTGGGCTCAGCCTTGGGGTCACACCAAGCTCTTCTGTCTGCTCAGAGGTGTAAATGCAGAGCCAGCCCCACAGAGGTCCGTGACCTCGGGTCTCAGAGCTCTTCCCATAACCACATCAGTCTCTGTGCTCAGCACAGCTTGGGGAAGGTGCTCCAGAGGCAGGGCCAGGACCAGGCAGGACCACCAGGACACAGGTTCACAGAGCTCTGTCGTTCTGCTCTTCCACACCACCCTGGGACAACCCCTCAGGCTATCACAGATTTCTTCACCTCCTTGTGGGACTAGGAAACCCCTCCATCTGCAACCCACTTACTGGAGTTGGAGAAAGGGAGCAGGAATAAAACCAAGATGCATTTACCTGAGACTTGGGGATGATGCCAACTCTGAAGAACCCGATGTGCCCACTGTCAATTTTGGTGCAGTCCACCACGGTGGAGGCAATGATCTCTGGAGAAGGCCCATCACAAAGAACTGCATCCACCTGAAGAGCAACACATGTTCACACCCAGGTCCCCTCAGGCACTTGGGAAGAGGGGGGGCAGTTCCCCCCCTCAGCAGCAGGTAGTTATTATCAAAGGCAACTCTGCTCCCTCCTGCCTCTCTGCATTGACACCAAGGGCTGAACGTGGTGAATGAAATTCATGAAAGCAAAAAGAGAGGGAGCTCTTTGGGGTGGGGGTTGCCAGTCCTACAAAGGCAGGTTCACAGCACCTGGGGAGCTTTGCAGAAGTCCCACCCATAAAGCAGATGTGTAGAAAACCAGGTTTCTGAGGAGTCAGAGGTGGAAGCTTTATAGCACCTCGTGCTGAAAACTGCCCTCACCCAAGCTGCCCTGAAAGGACCAGATGGAGGACACCTGGGACAGAGCAGGGAAGTGGAGGACAGCATGGCCATGGCACTGCACTGCCAGAAGGTGTGATAGTTCAGAGAGCCAGGCATATTCTAGAACTTTGGCCCCAGTTTTAGACCAGCTTAAGCTTCAGATGGGAATCCCCTGTGCTCTGGCAGCTCAGAGCCAGCTGGAGCCCTGGTGTGTCCAGGGGTCAGTGGTTTTACTGCTGCTGAGAGGCAAAGAAGCACTTTTTTGTTGCTCATATCATGCTGTGTTGGAAGATGAACTGACTCACATGGCCAAGCTCTAACTATATGGTATAAATCAGAAGAGTTTTGGTTTCCCTCCAAGTTCTGTATTTTACCCTGGTCCCTTCACTGTGACACCAACATGAGGAGTGTCCACGAGATGCTTGTTTTTACCAAGGTGCTTTCCCAGGCTCTTGATACCATCCATGGATTTGCCTGCTGGAAACCAAGGGGTTGCATTCTGCCCTCCCCACCTCTCCTGGGACCAGCAGGATGAAAAGGCAGAGCCCCAGTTACCTTGTCCCCCAGCTTGGCATACACCTGGTTGTGGTGTGTGGTGTCTGCCTCTCCCGTCGGGTTGGCGGATGTGACAGCAATGGGGCCAACCTGGGGACAGGAGAAGGGGAACAAAAGCTCTCAGCTGGTTTTGCTGCATGGAACAGATGATCTGAGCTCTGAACTTCACTTGTGAATTTCTGTGACTCTAAAGCCACCCAGGCTCAGACACCCTTCTTAGGCAACTGCAGTCCCACCTGATCTGCACCTGATCTGGGGTGACTAACCCCCTTCTGAACTGGGGTTTGCTGGTGTGGATCAGGAAAGAACATTCCATTTTCCAGCAACAGCAACTGCCAAAGCCCTGTGATATGTGTCCTGGAAATGAGCAGGCCACACAGGGTACCACAGACCCTCTGGCCACATTTTCACAGAATCACAGGATCATTTTGGACCTTCTGAAGTTGTTCTGCCCTCAGAAGTGTTGCACGTGGGAAACCAGACCAAGTCTCTGTTCATTACGTCTTTTCTGGCTTTCTGATCTGCTGGTTATTCCTTGTGCCCCCTTTTCTGCAATAAAATCAGGTACCAGCTGCCTGAACGGCCCACCCCTTCTCCATGGCACTTCTCTTGCAGGAGTCACTCATTGCAGCACTTCTCCCTCCCCAAACCCATCAGGACACTCTGGGATCCTCCCTTCATGGCGAGAAGGACACGGGGAGGAGAGGTGACATGCCAAGGCGGCTGATGGAGTGTTCCAGCCTCTCCCTGTCCTTCTCCCCTCTGCAGGCCAGAGGCCCTGGGTGGCCAGGAGGCAGTGGAATGGGCAGCTCTGGTGGGCAGCCCTGCTGGGGGAGGCTGCTCACCAGGTCGATGAGGTGTGTGGTGACGGAGCAGTCGGGGACGCGGATGGCAACGCTCTGCTGGGTGCCCACGTACCGAGCTGAGTCCTTCATCCCCAGGAAGTCCACCCATTCACCTGCACCAGGAAGAGTGACATGTACATCAGTCTGGACACAACAGCCTCACCTGAAATATTCCCACAGAGCTTGGGGTGTTGCAGGGGTGTGGGAGGTGAAGTTGGAGCTTCAAAGCTCTCCAGAGAGCTTGGCAGCAAGAGCCCATCCTCACCTCTGGGAACCACCAAGCTGATAGGAGATGGCCAGGCAGCCTCCATGAAGTCCCAGAGAAGGGGACTGAACAAATGCTTTGCAGGTTCCAGTTGCTTTAGGCTAGAAATCCAGAGTGACATGGGGCGATCCTGAGCCTGGCGCTTGGAGCTGGAAAGAAGCAGGAAAAATGAGCCTGGAAGCAGGAGAGGGATTTATTTTCAAGCTGAAAGGGGAAATCTGTGTTGGCATGGGGCAGAGTTGAGACAAGGTGTGTAGGCTCTGCCCCAGGCCACCAGTCTGCAGTAGCAGTAGGACTGTCCAGTGGCAGGTAGGGACATTAAGGACTATTCCCACCCAGGGAAGCCAACCCCAACCCAAGGTTTTAGCTTCCTGCTCAGTGATGTGATGAAGTCCCAGCTGCCCCGGTTTCAAGGAAGCCCCACCAGTATGAGGGGTCCCAGCTGCTCACAGAAGTGCAAGCTGAAGCTTGTGTTGAACATGAGAGGGGTTGGTTGTGGCAACAGGCACCTCCAAATACGTACAACGATCCCCTGTCCCATTTGTCACTTGTTTGGGTTTCTTTGTGGTACCCAAGCAACCTGGCTCCATCACCCCCCAGGAGCCTTCACTGTCACAGGAGACAACTGCAGCTCAGCTGTCACCTCTCCTTATGCAGATCTCCTCCCCCAGGCTCACTGCCTTGCTGTGCCCATGAAAGCCAAGCTGTGTCTCTCTGCTCCCCATGGCTGCTCCGGCCAGTGCTCAGCAGCAGCTCTAAGTCCTAGAGACTTCTGTGGAGCAGCCCAGAAGCCCTGGCTGGGGCAGGAGGGCAGCTACTCACTGGTGAGCCTTCTCCACAGCGTCGGGCCGGCTGCAGGCTGCCACCAGCACGTACACAGTGTCCGTGGGGATGCCACAGGTCCCTCCATTCTTCAGGATGTCTGTTGGCACGTGAACAGGGCAGAGCCCTTGAGTGACTCCAAGCGAGGGGCTGCAGAGCCCAGCAGAGCTGGCCCAGGCAAAACAGACAACTCGGTGCCCTCCTCCCCCCCTCTGCCCGAGGAACAAAGCATCTCCTCTGACAGTGCACTTCAAGGCATTCATCCCAGAGGAGATCTGGCATGTAGGGGAGTTCTGGGCCACGTTCATCAGGGCCAGGAGCCACGCAGCCCTGTGGAGGGAGCCAGGACGCTGCACTTGCCCTGCTCCCTCTGCACAAAGCTTGCAGTGGTGGCCCCAGCCTGGAGGACTCATGGATCTCAGACAGGGGTATGATACAGGACAGACAGCAGCAAATTCACTGCTGAACCCAGCTCCTGACAAGGAACTGGTCCCCTTTACCCCATATTTAGCTTCTAATGACTCTTGTAACTTGGCCCACTTCATCAAAATACCACCAGAGTATCATGGTTTCCACACCTGGGTTGGAAAAATGGGGTTTTTTTATAAGGTTTCGCTACAAAACCTCCCAGAATTTAGCCCCCCCACTCTCACACACCACAGCCTGTGCACTTCCCTTACCTGCAATTCTCTTGACTGAAGAAGCTTTCCTGGCAGGCAGGTGAGGGCACCTGGTCCCTGCTGCCCCCACCCCGCTGAGCTGCACCAGGGGCCTCCCCATGGGCAGGCAGGAGCCCTCCAAGGTGCTGCTGCAAAGGGCAGACAGGAAGCAGTAGAAGCTGACCAGACCAAAGATGAGGGTGGCAGCAAGGTCATAGCCAGCTGGGAGGGCATGGAGGGTGTCCAGTAGGAAGCTGGCAGCCACCAGGAAGAAAGTGAGGGAGTAAAAGAACCAGGCGGTGTTTAAGAAGAGGGTGCAGAAGACAATGAAGCCGTTGAAGAGCATGAAGGCAACGATGCCTACAGCTGCGTGGAAGCTCCTGGCAGTGCCATAGAGGCCACCATATCTTGCCAGGCCCCAGATGATCCACATGACAGCGTAGAGAATGAAGGCACTGCTCTCCAAGGTCTTACCCCGAGCAAAGGCCACCGAGCCGCTCAGGAGCTGAAGGATCCCACCAGCCACCACCACCCATGGAATGACAACAGTGGCAAGGGGTGTCTGGGGGTCCCCTGGCACTGTGATGGCAAAGGAGGCCAGGACACTGCAGGCGTAGCCCAGGACTTCTGCATCTGCATACTTGGAATAGCCCAGGTAGGGAGCGTGGAGGTCCGAGCCCTCCCGGAGCTTCAGGAAGCTGCTGCGAGCCAGGAGGGCCTTGGCAGCAGCCTGCCCTGTGGGGATCTGGGCACCTGCTCTGCCATTGTACAGGTGAATCAGAGACATCAGGGCTGAGGCCACAAAGATGGCCACGTCCACACCTTGGGGGCCACCTTCAAAAAACCCCTTGGGGCTGCAGGCTAAGGCAGCGCAGGAGGCCACATAGAACAGCAGGTACAGGCCATCCAAGGGGCTCCTGAGGCTGAGGAAGAGGGCCAGGACCACAAAAAGAACTGAGAAAACCACCAGGAGTGGAGTAGGAAAAGATGGCTCCTCCGGCTGCCAGAGGGGGTAGAGAAGGCAGTAGCCTCCAGCAAATTTCAGGATGGAGGTGAAACCAAAGAAGGTGGCCCCCAGCACATCCATTGCCCGGTAGGACAGGACACAGATGCCCAGCTGGTAGAGCCCAGCTGCCCACAGCCAGGGCACCTGGCCCACAAACAGCTTGGGGGTGACCCCCAGCAGCCTGCAGCCAAAGACACTGGCAGACAGCATGTTCAGGATCAGCCCTGTGGCTGCAAAGGGGTTCCCACTGCCACTGCTGGGCTGGCTCTGCTCGTGGGTCTTCTTCTTGGCCAGGTCTGTGCCAGGGAGGGCAATTTTCTCTTTAGTTAGGAAGTAAAGAATCCTCCCCACACCAAAATAAGCGCCAGCCAAGCAGACAACCATGTAATTGCAGGCCACAGCAGAGGAACCAAAAGCTGTGCCATAATGCAGGGCGACCTCGTGAGCACTGGCGAGCGAGAGGGCAGAAGCAATCACAGCCAGGAGGACCTCCCTGCACAGGAAGCCCACCACGGAGATGCTGAGCAGTGCCACAGTGAACGTGGCCAGGCCAGGCACCCAGGCACTGCGGAAATCATCAACGTCCTTCAGCACTTCCTGCCCTCCCAGGATGAGGATGAGTCCGTAGCCACACCAGAGCACCGAGACGGTCAGGCAGAGGGACAGCAGCAGGGGGGCTCTCCGTGGGCTCCTCCACACCCCTGTGGAGACAGGGCTGGGGGTTAGAGGCAGCAGGGTATGGGAAGTGGTGGTTAGGGGAGGCAGCTGCGTGACAGGCACATGGTGTGGTGGGGCACGACCCCCATGGAGCTGCACGGGGCCTGCTGACAGAGCTGCAGGAGCCCCAGCAGGTCTGCACCATGCCATGCACCATGCCATGCACCATGGCACTGTCCCACCTCCCTCCTGGTGCCTACAAGGCTCAAACACGAGACCACAACAGACTAATGAAAACGAAGTCCTGACACCTCTTCCTTTTGGGTTGCCTGGTGGTTTGTTGTGCTCCTGCTGGAAGCTGCCAGCTCCACAGGTGTCACACAACCTGCTGGATCATAGAATCATAGAATCTTAGGGGTTGGAAGGGACCTCAAAAGATCATCCAGTCCAACCCCCCTGCCAGAGCAGAGTCACCTAGAGCACATCACACAGGAACGTGTCCAGGTGGGTTTTGAATGTCTCCAGTGAAGGAGACTCCACAGCCTCCCTGGGCAGCCTGGCCCAGGGCTCTGTCACATAAATAATTGGGCCTTCTCAGAATCACAAAACTCCTTCCTCTCAAGAACTACCCTGGTTGGTATCCTGGTCCTCAAAATGACAGAGACCTTGATTTAAAACACTTCAAGTGGAATGGAACCCACCTGCTACCCCCAGCAGTATCACCAAGTGCCTTATTTTTCCTGCTACACTTTCCTCCCTCACGATGGAGGGACACTGACCAGCACAGGCAGGGCAGGAAGCTCCCTTCCTTGCAAGGGACCTGGGCTTCCCTCCTGCCTCAAACTGGTGCAGCTTTGAGCCAGACTCAAGCTGGGAGGGGAAGGAAGAGCTCTGCTGAACGAGGCCCCAGGTTACAGGGGACTGCAACCACACCAGGAGGCTGTTGATTCCCACCAGCAGTGAAACATCACCTGCCCAGTGGTCCATTCCAGATGGTCCCATCAAAACAGCCACTTCTAAGTGCTTTCTGCTGGTGCTTTGTGCCACCACGGACTGGGAGAAGAGGTGGTCCTATGTTTTACAGGTCAAAAGATGTTGTGTCTCTCCCAGGCTCTCTGCTTTGTAGAGGGAAAAAAACCAGCATCCAATCTTGGATTTTCACATCCTCATCATTCAAAGCTATAAAGGAGGAAGAACTCAGCATTCATTCTAAAAAGTGTGGACCTTGTTACAGCCAGTGAGTTTGTCTCTCAGATGAATATGTCTCTTGGCATTCACTGACAATGTGTGTCTCACACTGACATTTCAATCCTTGGGTGCCTAAAGTTCTCTCAGAAAGCCTGGGAACTGTTAAAACCCTGTGAAACCTCAGAGATCCTGCTAAAGCACTTGTTCAAAACCAACACTGATGGCTTTGGTAGCCTATGCTGGGAAAACTGAGGAGCTGCTCCTCCAGGAGGGTGGCTCAGGGGTCTGGCTGCCAAGGTTTGTATAAACCTGGAGAACAAATTCATGCAGAGCTGCAGAAGGGGGAGGCCTTGGAGCTGGCCATCCCCTGAGTCTTACCTGCATAGGCCAAAAGAGCTGATAAAATCAAGAGCAGGACTCCTAGAGCTGTGCTGGGGATGAGAGGGGTGGCTCTGGGCAAGCTGTAGAAATGCACTGCCAGCAGGAGGGATCCTGGGGGTGGAAAAAAGGGAAGAGCTTGTAAACATTGCTCAGAAAAGCAGGAAAGAACCAGAGTGGCAAGAGCAGGGAATACAGGAAAAATAAAAATAAATAAATAGCAGTAGAAGATGTGAAAAGAATGAGATGTAAGGAGCTGGAAGTGTGTGGCAGCTTGGTTTGTGCCCAAGGTCTCAGCTCTTTCTGCTTGCCTAGTTTTAAGAAACTTGAACTTAATCATGTTTGAGAGTGCTCCCCGTTGTCAGAGGAACACAAACCCCAGCTCTCCGAGTCCAGGGGCACAGGAGGCAGGCAGAGCAGCAGAGGGTCACAGCACCTTGTGCCCACGGAAAGCCCTGGGGACCAGCAGGGGCTCCCCAGGAACCAGCAGAGGGGCCGGGGGGAGGGAGGGAGCTCAGCAAGCAGAGCTGCAGGGAAAGGGCTGGAGCAGGAGGCTAGGAAAGCACATCTAAACCGAGAGCATTTATGAAAAGGACTACCAGAGAGTTTTGAATCGCTTCCCACCCAGGACGGCCCCTGGGCCAGCGCTGGGAAGCCGAACCAAACTGGGAGCTGCTGGGAGGAGGCACCGGGATCCGCATCCCAGAGATTCACGCCCAACAGACTCCTTAGCGCCCGTTTGTAAAAAAAAAAACAAACCAAGAGGGAGGGTTTGCCCACGGGAACCAGTGCCAAGCCCACTCCCCAGCCCAGAAGCGGGTCCCTACCTGCGGCCAAGCCCAGGAGCGCGGAGCAGGGACGCGGCTCAGCCCTCCCGCCTGCCATGGCCGGAGCTCGGCTCAACTGCTGCCCCGCCGGCCTCCCTAGCTCTTTATAACCAAAGCAGCTCCACCGGCCGCCCTTCCTGCCTCCTCTCCACCCCTTTTCCCTATAAACATCCCCTGTGAGCGCTGCTCTCTGCGAAGCCCGTGAGTCAGCGGGTCCCGGGACCTCCCCCCGGGGCTGCTGGTTAACCCTTGGTACAAAAGACACTTGAAAAAATAACGATGAGGATTTATTGCTGTTACTGCCTTTTTTTTTTTTTTTTGCTGCTGCCAGGGAGGAAATCACACTGGTTAAAATTATTCAGGTGTTGTGTTGTTTTTTTTTAAAAGCATCCATCCTGCTGGAGCAAACAAGTGCTCTGCAAGCCCGGGAGCTCCCCTGGGGACTGGTTATTTCTCCCAACACTGGGCACGGTCCTGCTGTTTGTCCCTGTCACAGCTCTGAATGCCTGGCAGCACCATCCTGAGCTGGGCAAGCCCGGGGCAGGTTCAGTGCCATCCCCTCAAAGGTGACTTCTGTCCTTGTGTCGCTCCAGATCCATCCATCCCAGCTCCCAGGGAGCTCCTGCCGAGTGGTTCTCATGAGTGAGATGTCCATGCAGACATGGAGGCTGCAGCCCAGCACCCAGAGGGGCCTTCCTGCCTCCCAGGGGAACTTCATAAGCAGGAGGTGGGTGCCAGTCCTTGCCAGGATGGCTGCTGTACCCCAAAGGTGATGTGAAGGACTCATTCACAGCTTCCTGCTGCTTCCCGTTGGGAACACATGGTCAGGGCACAATGGCCCTTCCCAGAGCAGGAGGGGCTGCAGGGAGCAGTGGACACTGGCCTTGGGATCAGGTTGGGTCACACATCAAGTGGGAATTGGGCAGAGAACTGTTCTGTGAGAGCTAACGGGGCTTTGATGGGAACAGGGGCAAGACCTGCCTGCTCTTCTGTAGGTTCCCCCATCGTTCTGTTTGTGTGCACTGCAGCAGGGCAGGAGCTGTTCCCATGAAGGAATATTCCAGCCTCAGCCTCCCCAGAGGTCAGAGAAGATGCAGAGCAGTGGAAAGGGCTTCACACTGCCACACTGGGCTGCTCCAGGATGGCTCTGCAGAGGCCCCACAGCCCCTGCTCTGTGTTACCCTGTGACTCATGGAATAAGGGGCTGCAGGCACTGCCTTCCAGGGTGGGGTATCTCAGCTGAAATGTGGTATTTGTCAAGAATATGTTTATTTCAAATAGATCTCTAGGTTGAACATGTCTGTTGAGAGAGGCCTTATTACATGAGGAAACAAGCACTGGAATAAACCAGGTTTGTCCCCTTACACCTACCCAGGAATATCAGGGGGTGTAATTGGGATTATAAGGGGATATAAGGAGAACCTGCTCCCCCTGCTTGCAACAGGCAGTGAGAGCTGAAGGAAGTGCTCTGCAGCAAGCTTGTTTGGACCCTCAGCTGCCTTCATTCCATCATTAACTGGACTGCTCTCTAACCAGGTGAAGGAGGAAGATGCCACCTGCTCAGGTTGCAGCATGATTCAGCTCTTTTTCCATGCAAGAGGAAACAATGCATCTCTAAACCACAGCCAGAATGCCCTGACTACCAGAACAAACCACAGTGCCAAGGCTTTGGGGGGTTTCCAGTTTAATTTCTGTTTTGTGGAATAAAAGTAACAGAAAGGAAAAGCCAGGGTTAGATCAGCTGGAGTGCAAGTCCTTTTTCACATACATGCTGCTTGTTCCTGCCTGAGCAGGCAGCAGTGAGGAGGACGTGGTGCCTGCTGTCACCAGTCCTAAGAGATGTCTCTTCCAAACACAATAGACACCAGAGGAAAACTTCTTATAAATAACCCCTGGAAAACATTCCCCAACTATGCTGCACGAGGTGTGTTGTGGTTTTGTTCCCTGAAGAATGGCAGGACAGCCTCAAGAGTTATTTCAACAGTGCAGAGCTGAAATAGAGAGGTGCATCATCTCAGGGCTGAGCATCTCAAGGACAAGGAAGAACAAGTCTCTGCCTGGGCAAAGGAGTTTTCCCCATCACATGTTGTGAATCTTGCTGCCAAGTGCCCCTGCAGAGGTCAGGGCTCTGCCAGTTCCTGGTACCACTTTCCTGGCAAAAGGAAAGGACCCAAAGGCCAAGAAACAACTACAAGTGAGTGCAAAACATCTGCTCTTGAGAAGTGGGGTATGAGGGTAGGAACAGTTAAAGTCAGAAAAGGAAATCTTGGGTGTTAAAAGGCTGAGACTGTCCATGCAGTGTAGGATTTAAAAACAGGGAGCAGAGAGGAATGCCCTGGCTTGAATACTTGCCCTGGCTGGGCTGCCTCTGCTACCATCTTCCCTGCAAAGAGGCACTTCAGTCTGAAATAGGCTGGAAAATGGACAGTTGAGAAGGAAAAACACAGCTGCTCAGCTGAACAAGCCATGTCAGCTGGGGAGGCTTTGGAGACAACGTGCTGGGAAGAAGATCTGCAAAGGAGCAGCCAGTTGAGGAAACAAATATTTACATGCCCTGCCTGTGGTACTGGAAATAAAACCCTCTTGCCAGTAAGAAATTCAGCCCAGCCCTCCTGGCCCCACCTGCTCCTGGGGGAGGGCTGGGGCTATAAAAGCCTCCAGGCAGTGAACAGAGGCACAGCGCTCTGGGGGCTCTGCGGGGAACCCTCCTGCTCCGAGCATGGGCAAGCGGGTGGCCGTGGTGCTGGCGGGGTGCGGGGTGTTCGACGGCAGCGAGATCCACGAGGCGTCTGCGGTGCTGGTGCAGCTCAGCAGGGACGGGGCAGAGGTAACGGGAGGGGAGGGACAGGGAAGGGGCAGTGGGAGAGGAGGGGGCAGAGGGAAGGGGCAGTGGGAGAGGAGGGGGCAGGGAAGGGGCACCGGGAGAGGAGGGGACAGGGAAGGGGCACCGGGAGAGGAGGGGACAGGGAAGGGGCAGTGGGAGAGGAGGGGGCAGAGGGAAGGGGCAGTGGGAGAGGAGGGGGCAGGGAAGGGGCACCGGGAGAGGAGGGGACAGGGAAGGGGCACCGGGAGAGGAGGGGACAGGGAAGGGGCACCGGGAGAGGAGGGGACAGGGAAGGGGCACCGGGAGAGGAGGGGACAGGGAAGGGGCACCGGGAGAGGAGGGGACAGGGAAGGGGCACCGGGAGAGGAGGGGACAGGGAAGGGGCACCGGGAGAGGAGGGGACAGGGAAGGGGCACCGGGAGAGGAGGGGACAGGGAAGGGGCACCGGGAGAGGAGGGGACAGGGAAGGGGCACCGGGAGAGGAGGGGACAGGGAAGGGGCACCGGGAGAGGAGGGGACAGGGAAGGGGCACCGGGAGAGGGAAGAGGCACCGGGAGAGGAAGGACAGAGGGAAGGGGAACTGGGAGAGGAAGGACAGAGGGAAGGGGCACCGGGAGAGGAAGGGACAGAGGGAAGAGGCACCGGGAGAGGAGGGGGCAGAGGGAAGGGGCACCTTGGCAGCTCCCGCCCCAGCTCGGGCTCCTTTCGCCCCGCTCTGCTTTTCAGCCTCCCTCCTGCAGGAGGGATTTGCCCCCCAGGAGCCCTGCAGGCTGCTGGAGAAATGGGGAGCCCCCCAGGAGCCGAAGTGCCGGGCAGGGAGGGAGGCAAAGCACGGAGCAGGGCTCGGGAGCTGCCCCAGCAGCCTGGAAAGGCTCTGCTCCCTGGCTGCTCCGGGCTGAGCCTCCCGGCGCTGCATCCCGCTTTCCTTGGGGCTCTCTCTGCTCCTTCTGCCTTGCGCTGCCCGTTCTACACTTTGGTGCTTCAGCTGAAAAGACTGAGGTTGTTCCGGGCTGTTTGAAACGCATCTTTGCTTGGTTTTTTTTTTTTTAAAACTGAACACGGACACGTTCTCGTGAGCTGAGCTCGAAGGGGGTAAAAAGGTGCCCCGGGTCCCGGCAGCGCCTCTGCCAGCCCGGGACAGGGGCAGGGAAGCCCTGAGGGACATTTCCCTCGGCTCTGTGGGGCAGAGCCCTTTTCCTGGGACCTGGAATTACTGGGAGGCCCCTGAGCCGCAGAGCCCCCCCCCCCCCCCGCCGCCAAAGCTGCAGTCGCTGCTGGGCTCGGGGCTTCCCAGACCCTCCCTGCCCTGCCTGGGATGTTGCCTCTTCCTCCCTGGAGCTGCTGCCCTCGCTTCCCTGCTGACATTCCCGGGAACGGGCAGGCTGGGAGCGTGTCCTGTGCTCATCCCTCCCAGCAGGGACCTCCAGCGGAGGGAGCTCAGCTGTCCTTCCAGCCTTCTGATTTTGGGTCACGATGCCTCGGGAAACAGAGGATTGGCTCAGTAGGGTAGCTCAGGGTGGCAGGGAACCCAGGACTTCAGCTGGAAGGGCTCTACAACTCTGCTGCAGGTCCAGCCCTCTAAACAAGTTAAATCTTGTCACTGAGGGCCTTGTCCAAATGCCTGTTAGACCCTCACATCCCTGGGGCATCAGGACCCCTTGAGGAAGCCTGGGCCAGGGTTTGACCACTGTCTCTAAGGAAATGCCTCCTCATGTCCAGTCTGAACCTCCCCTGGTGCAGCTCTGAACTATCCCCATGTGTCCTATCACTGGAGCCCTTGGAGAGGAGCTCAGCATCTCCTCCATGTTCCCTCCTCAGGTGCTGGGCAGTCAGCACCTACAGATGGAAGCCTCTAAGGAAAGGCTGCACCAGTGGCTCTGGGGACACCTTTATTTCCTAGGAAGGAGTCACTGCTCCCTCTCCAGTACTTCAGGTCCCAACACAGGCAGTGTGGGCCAGCTTCTTTGCCTTCACCCAACAACACCCTCATTGTCTAAGGTCAGGGCAAACGTTCCTGTGCAGAGCTACAAAAGATCTTTCTTTCTCCTCCCTCTGACAAGGACCTTCCTGAAGCCCCTGCCAGACCCAGGGGAGCCTGCAGGTCACTGCCTTCACCAGCAAAATAACCCAAGCATTTTCATTCACTACTCTTGATCTTTAACACGCTTAGGGCACGTGCCTGAAGGATAACAGAGCTTTCCTCTCCCTCCCCAGGCAGAGCTTTATGCTCCTGATGTGGACCAGATGCACGTGGTGGACCACATGAAAGGACAGCCAACCAAGGAGAAGCGCAACGTGCTGGTGGAAAGTGCCAGGATAGCCAGGGGCAACATCAAGGACCTGGCTAAGCTGGATGTCAAGGGGCTGGATGCCCTGATCATACCAGGTAGGATGGGGTCAGCATGCTCAAAGGTTTGGGAACAGCTCAGAGACACCATGGAAGTCATGGCCTGGAGAGGGGCAGAGCTGGAAGCAGAAATTGGGAGGAGGGACAGCTTATAGAATCACAGAATGGTTTGAGTTGGAAGGGGCCTTAAAGATCATCTAGTTTTAACCCCCCTGCATGGGCAGGGACACCTCCCACTAGATCAGGTTGCTCAAAGTCTCATCCAACCTGGTCTTGAAGACCTCCAGGGAGGGGGCAGCCACAACCTCCCTGGGCAACCTGTTCCAGCATCTCACCAGCTGTACAGGAAAACTTTTTCCTAATGTCCAACCTGAATCTCTCCTCTTTAAGCTTCAAACCACTGCCCCTTGTCCTCTCACTATACACCTGTGTATGTGCCATCTGTGCTGGCACTGGCTGCTGGCTGGGACTTGTGCTCACAGAGCACATGGCCCTGCAGAAGCTGATGCAAAGAGGAGAGGGCAGATAGCAGCCCATCCTCTGTAGCATCTGCTGAGCTTTTCCTTCCTGGGTGTACAAGGATCCCCTCCCTCAGCAACACATTTGCCTCCTGATGAGGAGAACAGCCTGGGTGCCTCACAAACAGAGAAGGTGGCCAATCTGGCAACTCATCTGTTGTGAAAGTACAGCCAGGGTTTCAGTGGGGAGGGATTGGGCCTGGAGCAAGGATTAAGATGCAAGTGAAAACATGTCAGCACGTTCCACCATCATTCAGAAAAGAGCTCGTGGGTGAGGCACAGCACCCTGCAGGGCACTGGCACCTCTGCTTCAGCTCTCTAGGGAAGCAAGAAAGGTGCTTTGATGTCTCATCTCCTGGCAGGCAGCTTCCAGAGGTTCATCTTGACTCTTGTTAATTCCTTTAGCACTGCTGGACAAACGGTGCCATCCACCAAATCCATTTTAGCATCCTACTAAGGAATAACTGAAAACACCCTGCCCTGGAGTACTAATCTTCTGGTCTCACCTGCTTCTCTTCTCTCAGGTGGCTTTGGAGTGGCTAAAAACCTGAGTACTTGGGCTACCCAAGGCAAGAGCTGCATTGTCTGCAAAGAGGTGGAGGATGTCCTGAAGGCATTCCATGCTGCCAAGAAGCCCATCGGCCTGTGCTGCATTTCCCCAGTGCTGGCAGCCAAAATCTTCCCGGGATGTGAGCTGACCGTGGGCCACGACACCGAGTGTGAGCAGTAAGTAACCAGGGAGCACCAACACCAACCCCCCGGGAGCACCCCAGGGGCAGCAGGGCTCCCCAGGGCTCCCAGCGCCCTGCCTGGAGAGCCCAAGCCTCGAGAGGAGCTGGATGTTGCTTCTCTGAACACACAATCCACACCTTTTAAATTAACCTTGGCAGAGAAGTTAAATCATGGGAGGTTTTTGTCACTTACACGTTCTGCTCTGTCTCCTGGTAACACTAGAAATGGACCTCCCTGTAATGCGGCCCCTTGGCCACAGGAGGGCGCCAGAGGCGAGGAAGTGGCCGGGAATCCCTTGGGATTAAGGATGGGAAGCAGGAACCTGCCCTGGGGGCAGGGAGAGACCAGAGGGATTTAGTGCCCCCAGAGACAGGCTCTGAGCCAAGCATTTAGCAACTGGGGCCCCTCTGCGGGCTCGGCAGGTGGCAGTGGAAACTGCAAGCACCTGGCAGAGCTGCCAGCAGGCTGGGCCTGCTGGGCCAGCAGCCTTCTTTGTGTGTTGCAGGTTTCTTGGCACAACTGATGGCATAAACTAGGATACTTTAAACACAGTCTTGTGTTTGCCTCCTTGACACATGCAGCACCCACCTCAGACACCCCTTGGTTCAGGGTAGGAGACACCAGACCTGGCTCGTAAAGCTGAGCAGGTCCTAGGTGGGAACAGGATGGATGCACAGGACTTGGGAGTGTTGAGAGAGAAGGAGAGAGGGAAACTGTCCTTATTCCCATGGGAAAGCTGTGACTGAATCCCCCCAGTGGCAGGGAAGGGACTACAGTGGCTCTAGGAAATAATGTCACTTGGAGGAAGCTGGTGAAAAAGCCATCCCAGCCTAAGCACAGAGCCTGGGCAGAGAGTGAAACACCCGTGGTGGAACATCAAGGTCTTATTCTGGCCTTACATCCCATTTTTAACTCAGTGTGATCTGGAGGTTTTCCTGGTTCTATAATCCCGGAGAAACTCCTCTGACAGAAGGTGTGGATCCTCCTGGGCAGGCTTTCTGTAGGGACCATCCCCTCCCTGGGCAACCCCCCGAGCTCTCCCTCCCCTTGGGCGCTGCGGCTGCTGTGCCGGGTGAGCCCCGCGTGTGCTGAGCGCTGCTGTCCCGGCAGGTGGCCCTACGCCAGCACTGCCGAGGCCCTCAGGGAGCTCGGCTGCAAACACATCAACAAGCAGGTCTCCGAGATCCACGTGGACGTGCAGAACAGGCTGGTGACCACCAGTGCCTTCATGTGCAACGCCCCCATCCACCAGGTCCACGATGGCATTGGGAAAATGGTGCAAGAGGTGCTCAGGCTTGCCTGAACAAAGCCCCCGAGTCCATCTCCTCTGGAGTGCAGGCACTGAGCCTCGGGTCCTGTCCCTCCCCTCCCACCCACACCCCAGCAGGCAAACCCAGACTGAGATCTGCCTCCCTGCTGAAGAGGGAGAGCTCCAGAGCCATGAAGTGTTGTGTCCTGTCAAGGAGACACCCCTTCCTGGTAGCAGCTGGGCTGTGGGCAGGTGTGGGGCTGGCACTGAGGCAGGACCCACAGCCCAACAGGGCCCCCTCTCCCTGGCCCTGGGGGGTGAGGAGCTGCCCGGGGTCTGGCAGCCACCACTGGGTCTGACCTGTTCCCACCATGGTCCCTTCCCAAAAGTCTTACACAGGCACCTCTGCCAGGCTTTCCAAGCTCTCCACATCCCTCCACCTCACAGAAGATGGACTCAAAAGACCTTTGAGATCATCAGGCCCAACCATTAAACTCAACCAAGCCCTGTCCCTCAGCACCATCTCCTGGAATCAATCACAAATGGATGAGGGGCAAAGGGAAGAATCACAGTTCTGCTACTGAATAAAACCTGACACTTTATACCTGGGCTGAGTTGTGCTGTCACTGGTTGCTTCTTACTCAGGATTAGGATGTGCTTTTAGTGCTGCTGCTTGGCCAATGCACAGGGAAAACAATCTAGGAAGTTGCCAGCAACACATCCCACTTGTTTTGCTGGGATTTGTCCAAACCCAAACTTAGGCATAAATATGGAAGCAGAATCAAACCACTGTTGGCATCCAGGTCTGGTGGGAAGAGGTTGAATTCTTCCCTCATGTGACAGCAGTGCCTGATGGAAGGGGCCTCCCAGACTGCTCTGAGGCACAAGGGGTCCAGGGTGGGGTCCAGGCATCCCAGAGAAAGTGCTGCAATTTCCAGCCCTTTCCAGTCTCTAGGAATCTTTCCACAACTCTGATGGCTTAAAATAAGACACTTTATTTTAAATATCTTGGCAGCCACTGAGTGTTCCTGCAAACACAGAGAGCTCGCAGGAGCAGCACTGGTAACTGCTGCAAAGAGCTGTAGGTGTGAGCTGAGCAGCAGCCAGGGCAGCTGCAGCCCTCCATGGCCTCACCTTCTGCAGTTTAAACAACATACTAAAAAAGTGGGAAGGGACAATCACTGTAAGTATAAAAAGCTGATCCCCACAGATATGTCATATAAAGAGTTCACTGCAGCTGGGCCCAAACCAAGACATTAAACCAAAAAACTCCACCTGCTGGGAAACAGAGATTGACCCCACAGGTTTTGAGGCCTCTCTTTACCAAACCAGAATGATTAGACAGTTTTTCAGCCAGAGAAGGATCTGAACAGTGTCACTGAGAAATGGGACTGTGTATGGAAAACAAAGAGCATCAACACCTGAAGAGCACAACCAAGCAACCACGTTGCTACACGTAAACAGGTCAGCAGCTGCTAACTGCTCACAAACACAAGGTGATCCACTTACAAAAAAGGCAAAACACTGACCTCTATTTTCTGCTGCCTCAAAAAAAAAAAAAAGAAAAAGTGAGGCACCTGCCAAGGTACAGACATTGTGCAAAAATCAGTGAGATCCTGCCTCAGTAGAGGCTGGTCTTCTTCATGATCCGCAAGAACTCCTGCTGGTTCACTTCCCCATCCCCATCTCTGTCTGCCTCGTCAATCATCTCCTGCAAGAGATTTGTGTGCAGAAATCAGACACAGGGCAGGCCAGGATCAGAACTGCTCATGCAGAATTACAACCACCTTTTAGTGGCTTGTGCTGGAGGGGACAGTGTTAGCTCAGGGCCAGAGCGACTGTGCTCCAAAATATTTACTGAACTAGACATTAATATTTTAAATACATATATTTTTAACACAAAAATCTGTGTAGAAAATATCTATTATAGAAACTGACATCAGTTTTAAACCAATGTAAACAAGGGACCAGGAATGATGTGGTTTCATCTACCAGGTACAAACCTGCAGCTCCTCATCTGTGAGATTCTCCCCCAGTTCTTTGGCGACGCGCTTGAGGTTTTTGAAGGAGATTTTGCCAGTTTCATCGTCATCAAAGAGCTTGAAAGCTTTGAGAATCTCCTCTTTGGAATCTTTTTCAGCCTTAAAGAAGTGAATACAAGTTTAAGGAAAAAAAAAAAAAGCAGTGGTTATGTTGTAGGTAACAGGCTGAGTTGTTAAAGACAAGTATTAGAAGGACTGAGAAACTGTTTTCAGAGCAACCTGAAGGGTTTGTGCAAAACCTCAGGGTCTCAGGGCACTGTTTCCCTCCATAGCCAGACACCTCTGGGATTTCAGTATCAGGATCCTTCACTGTTAAATATCTCATTTTACTCAATGTGTTTTAAGATTTTTACAACACAAACCTGATTGTTAAAGGACCTTGGTAACAACATGACTATTTCAGCTTTCCTTGGAAAGATGAGATCAGGCACCCCCTGCCCTGCAATCCTCACCTGTTCTGCTGTCAGGATTTTAAAAAGTGCTTTTCACCTTCCACTGGAACCAAGAGGAGATGAAGGGTACTCAGCCATTTCCCCAACTGCTTTCACTCAGAACCCTTTTACAATTCACATACCATTTTCTGGGTCATCACTGCCAAGAAGTCACTGAAGCTGATTTTCCCTGTTCCTTCCTTATCAATATCAGATATCATTTTCTTGATCTCTTCTTTTTTAGGTTCAAACCCGAGTGCTCTCATGGCCACCTGCAAGGCCAAAACACATTTATAAATGATCCCAAACCATGAACAAAACCGTGGTGGGGGCTGGGGGGGAGCTGATCTTCACTTTGGCCAGCCCAGCCCTAAAGACACCTGAGCAGCAACGAGAAACACGTACCTGCTGAGAAGGTTTTATGCTGGAGGGGGAGAAAAACAACCTCTCCCTTCCCGTGTAAGGACATGGAGGTGTTTTGGGCCCTATTTCCTGATCAGCTCCTACCTTCAGCTCCTTCACGTCGATGCTCCCGGTGCCGTCGGTGTCAAACAGGTCGAAGGCCTCTTGGATCTCCTGCCTCTGCTCCTCCATCAGCTCCAGCTTGGGACTTGCCTTCTTCCTCTGGCTCGTGGAGCCCAGGGAGGGCTTCTTGAAGCTGGAGGCCTTGGCACAGCAAGACAAGAGCAAAGGGGGAGTCAGGCCCAGCCCCTGAGGGGAGCGAAGCATGAAAAGAAGCCAAGCTGAGGAAATGGCAGCAGGGAGAGCAAGGAGGGCCCCAGAATCAGGTCAGGGCTTGTAAAAACCAGTAAAGATGATGGGAATTAGAGAAGACAAGTAAATACATCCCTTGAGTTTAACGCAGAGACAGGCCAGCAGGACTGAGGTTCCCTGCACTTCCCTTGCTGTGCAGTTCAGGGAGGATGCTGAGGTGCCAAGGTCCTTGAGCACGGGGTGACACACAGAGCAGACAGCCCTGACTGACCCCATTTCCTGCGAACTCACCCCATGAACGCAGGGAAACACCCTCCCCCCCCACAACACCCCCCCCCCGACACACGCTGAGCATGGGCAGCAGAGGGAAGGGCCCGTGAGGCGCTCGGGCCTGCCGGAGGGGCTGGAACAGCTCGTTCTGCGTGTCTGATGCCCAACAGAAACGCCGCGTGACCGGGCCCTGCTGGCAGGGGCAGGGAAGGGACCTTTCCCCTGAGGGAAAGGCAGGGAAGGGGCCGGGAAAGGCAGGGAAGGGCAGGGAAAGGGCAGGGAAGGGGCCGGGAAAGGGCAGGGAAGGGGCAGAGAAAGGCAGGGAAGGGGCCGGGAAAGGGCAGGGAAGGGGCCGGGAAAGGGCAGGGAAGGGGCAGAGAAAGGCAGGGAAGGGGCCGGGAAAGGGCAGGGAAGGGGCCGGGAAAGGGCAGGGAAGGGGCAGAGAAAGGCAGGGAAGGGGCCGGGAAAGGGCAGGGAAGGGGCCGGGAAAGGGCAGGGAAGGGGCAGAGAAAGGCAGGGAAGGGGCCGGGAAAGGGCAGGGAAGGGGCCGGGAAAGGGCAGGGAAGGGGCAGAGAAAGGCAGGGAAGGGGCCGGGAAAGGGCAGGGAAGGGGCCGGGAAAGGGCGGGG